GTAACACAAACAGCCTAGCACACAGTAGGCTCCCACGCTCACGGTAACACAAACAGCCTAGCACACAGTAGGCTCCCAGGAGGGAGAGTGGCCACCGAGCTCCCGGAGGCGGCGGGATTCGAGCCTCTGAAGAGCTGCGTCTGGAGGGACCTACGGAGGCGCCATCGAGGGTGGGGTCAGGCGATCGGGGCCCAGGGCAGTGGACAGCGCGCGAGCGCGGAGGTCCGGAGGCGCGAGCTCCCCCCCGGCCCGCGTACCTTGCCCTCGTGGGTGCGGTCGGCCGAGCTCACGGACACGGCCTGGATCAGCAGCAGCAGGGACAGCGGCACCAGGAAGCCCGCGGCGGGCGCCGCCACCACGATGCTGCGCGCGCTAAGGAACGGGCGGAGCTGCCGGACCCCCACGCCTGGCCCCGCCCCCAGGCCCGACTCCGCCCCGATCCCCGCCCCTCAGGCCCGGCTCCGCCCTGAGTCCCGCCCCAGACCAGACTCCGCCCAGATCCCCGCCCCTCAGGCCCGGCTCCGTCCTGAGTCCCGCCCCCAGGTCAGACTCCGCCCCGATCCCCGCCCCTCAGGCCCGGCTCCGCCCTGAGTCCCGCCCCCAGACCAGACTCCGCCCAGATCCCCGCCCCTCAGGCCCGGCTCCGTCCTGAGTCCCGCCCCCAGACCAGACTCCGCCCAGATCCCCGCCCCGAATCCCGCCTCTCAGACCGACTGCGCCCCGAGCCCCGCCCCTCAAGCCCGACCCCGCCCCGAGCCCCGCCCGCGGAAGCCCACCCACCACTCCTGGCCCCGCCCTCATCCAGCCCACCCAGGCCAAAGCCTGAAGACGCCGCCGTCCCGGCCCGTCCAGATCTGCGTTCCACTTTTAGCGCACGCTCGGTGACCCCGATCGATTCTTTTTTCTTTTCTTTTTTCTTTTTTAGAAGCACAATCACAACCCACTGCAGCCTCGACCTCCCCGGTTCAAGCGACCCTCCAGCCTCAGCCTCCCGAGTAGCTGGGACACAGGCGCGCGCCACCACGCCCGGCTAATTTTTCTATCTTTCCGAAGAGACGGGGTCTCACTCTGTTGCCCAGGCTGGTCTGAAACGCCGGGGCTGAAACGGTGCGCCCGCCTCGGCCTCCCAAAGTGCTGGGATTGCAGGCGGGAGCCGCCGCGCTGGGCCCGCGGGACTCTCCACGCGCCACAGCTTCTCCCAGCCCCACCCACCCCGCTGGTCCAGGACTGGCCCTCCCTGGAGGCTTCTCCCTCTAGCCTCGCCCCCATAGCCCCAGTCCCCGCCTTCTCCCTCTGCTTCCCCACGTGGGCGGATACGCGACGGCCTTGTCCGTGGAGAAGGGCAGGTGGGTCGTGCGCACCAGGAAGATGAGACAGGTGACCAGCAGGGCGCCCGAGTAGAGGCACAGGGACAGGACGAGAAGCATGAAGAAGCGAAAGTTGCGGTGACCGATGCAGTTATTGACCCACTTGCAGTGGTGGTCAAAGTCCTGGGCGACAGGGAGAGGGAGCAGGCTCGAGGATTTCTCCGACCCGACTTCGATCACTTTCCCCCTGCCCTCTAGCCACCTGCCCTTGGCCCATGCACCGGCTTCCACCCCCAGGGAGAAACAGCCAGAGTCCCTAAGGCTGGCATTTCCCTTGTTAGAGCACACCTAGGTCTCTGTGGTATATCAGGTCACCTGTCAGGAGACATTAGAGTCAAGGCTTGCCACACCTGGGAGACACATCCTACTGTAACTTTGGGCAGAACATAAACCATCTCTGGGCCTCCACTTTCTCACCCACTAGATAAAGATGATAGCAGCACCCTTGCCCAGCCAGCACTTGTAAACCTGTGCAGGCTGTGACCACAAGAGAGACGGCCACTCAGAGCCAGGAGACCCTCCAACTTGGACACCCAGGCAAGGCCTCCCAGACCAGGCGGGCAGCCAGCCTGAGGGGCTTGGGTATCTCATGTTAGTGAACTCAGGAGTGGGACAGGGAGCTGCCTCTCCTTCCCAGGCCTGACCCAGTCCGGGACAGATGTAGGTGCCTGTGCACGTCAGCACCTGTGCAGACACAAGGGCCAGTCTCCCGGGACAGGTGCAGGCAGACAGCACAGGAGTGACCAAGAGTGGCTGCGAGTTACTGGCGCCCTTGGCCTTTAGCTGTCCTGAGGGACAGCTTCACACCCAGCCCTGGCCCCTGTATGAGGGGCTCCTGGTCCCAGCCAGATGTGGGGTGATGGCTGGCTGGTGGGCAGGTAGAGGGGCACTCACCTCCACACAGACATTGCACCAGGGGCAGTGGTAGGTCCCAGGCGGGCAGTGGAAGCAGCACTTTGGGCACCACTGCAGGCGGAAGGCCCTGTGGTTCACCCACACCACGTGCATGGTCAAGGGCCCCTGCTCAGCGGAGCCTGGCATTGGAAGAGGGTTGGGCACAGCAGAAGGCCCTGCGGTCACTCTGCAGCTGGGGCAGCTCCATGGCATCACAGGGCATGAGGAAGGGTGGAGACAAGGTGGGCAGGGGAACCTGGTCCCCACTGAGCAAGCTGTCCAAGTTCAGAGAGGATGGCAGTCAAAGGGAAGACGGGTTTTTAGCCAGGAGAGTTTTGCATAAAACTCAGGCCTGGTATGGCACGGTGGCTCATGCCTGTAATGCCAGCACTTTGGGATCACCTGTGGTCAGGAGTTCGAGACCAGCCTGACCAACATGGAGAAACCCCATCTCTACTTAAAATACAAAAAATTAGCCAGGCTTGGTGATGCATGCCTGTAATCCCAGCTACTCGAGAGGCTGAGGTAGGAGAATTGCTCGAACCCAGGAGGCGGAGGTTGCCGTGAGCCGAGATGGCACCACTGCACTCCAGCCTGGGCAACAAGAGCAAGACTGTCTCAAAAAAACCCAAAACCTCGGGCCTTTGGAGCAGTGCGCGCTGCCCTCAGTTGCGTTGTGCAGTGAAGGGAGGCGGTTTGGAAGAGCCCACTGGCCTCTGGCCCTGGCGCCCCCAGTTCTCCCATCTAGGGCACCGGGAAACCTCAACAATTCTGTTTTTCCACACTTTGGTGGCTTAAGAAATGGGGTGCCAGGGCCAGAGCAATGAAGACGTGGGGTGAAGGCGTCCAGAGGCTGGAGGAGGGCGGTAGGAAGGGCGCTTTAGGAGCCATCCCTGCAGGTGCAGTCCTTGGGGTGCCACCTCCTTCTCCCGGGGCTGATGCCTCACCTTGATGTAAGATGCCAGGGTCTGAGAAGTTGAGTGAAACAAGGCTGAAGAAGGTGAGGACAAAGAGGGGGCCTGTGACCACAGGAAAGGCCCACTCCCCGTTCTGAGCCAGCCACCTGCAACTGAGACGGGACCCGGGCTAGACCTCAGCAGGGGCAGCCTGGCTTACCCGGGTCAGGACCCACAGACCTTAAAGCCAGCTCTCAAAATCCAGGCTCCAAATACCCAGGCAGACTCATAATGGCTCCGCCAATGTCCCCAGCATGGTCAGCCACCCACAGCTCCCCGGCTGCACAGACACTGACCTCTGTGCCTTTGCACTTTCGGTTCCCTAGACCTAGAACAGCCCTCCATCCCTGACCTCTGCCCCGTCTTCTGCACCCCGGCCCGCACCCTACCATCCCCTTCCGTTTCCCTTGCTGTCTCTCTGTAGGAAACCTAACAGCTTGCCTGGAGACTCACGGGAATGCGAAGAAGAGGCCACTGAGAAAGACCAGCAGCACCACATTGCAGGCGGCAAACAGGCTGGGGAGGACCCAGGGAAGTGGGAGCAGAGGAGGGGGACGGCGCTCCTTCACGAGGGGCAGGGCGTCCGTTAAGGGTGTCATGGCTGGGCCTCCTGCACCTCCAGGGCAGGTCACAGCCAGCCAGCTCCTCCCCAGCCCAGCTTTCAGAGCTCCAGGGCGGCCTCAGAGCCACTGCCCAGGATGAAAGGAAAGAAGCCCAGTGTGACATCACAGAGGCTGGGGGTCCTCAGTAGAGCTGTCTGCAGCTGCTCTGGCTCCCTGTGGTGACAGGCACTCCCAACAGCAAACCCCACCCCCACCCCACATACTGGGAACCGAGGTCCTGCCCTGGAGAGGTTGACATTGCTGGAGGATTTGACTTTGGAGAAATGCATGGGGAAGAAAGTCGGTAATTTTCAGTCGGGCGCTGTAATCCCTGCAATCCCAGCACTTTGGGAGGCTGAGGCAGGTGGATCACTTGAGGTCTGGAGCTCGAGACCAGCCTGACCAACATGGTGAAACCCTGTCTCTACTAAAAATACGAAACTAGCCGGGAGTGGTGGAGAATCACTTGAACCTGGAAGGTGAAGGTTGCAGTGCG